ATAATCCGGTGCACCCTATATATGAAAAATGTTCTAAAATAGGTCATTCGTTGAAGGTGCGCCTTATAAATACGGTAGTCTCTGTAGACACCCCAGGCTCCACAAACGGCAACAAAAAAAACCTGTCAAACCGTGCCACGAAACATAACAGACAAGAAGGATTTGGAGGTGGGGTTAGTGCGCGTACACATGAAGGGGGGTGTGGAGGAGAGAGAAGCATGAAGAGGGAAGTTAGAATTATATTCTCTATAAGTTTGATATGGCCGACACACGACCAAAGAGACGATGTTCCGGTGAACAAATTGCGATATATTGGCCGATACATGGCATTTTTAAAATATCGGCATAGGCAGATCACTTTTTCTGATTGAACGATGTGTTGGAAGCGGGGCTTTTATTTTGACGGCGCTACAGACTTTCATTTTGACGGGTGGTGCTGAACCAACACAGCACCTGAGAAGAGAACGGCAGCGCCTGATCACACAGCGCTCATTCACATTCTCCGTCTTCATTAGTTTACGATCTCTGCCAGTAGACTGGCAAACAATAAAAAGTAAATAATATGCAAAAAAAAAAAAATAAAGTGTTTGCTTTTATATTATTTGTAATAGAAAGGTAAACAATCAGCCTAAAATACTTTCACATTTACAATCAACAATCAACAAATGTTACTGCTAGTGTCAGTCGGTACATGCAAAGCGAGTAAACGTGAACAGAAAATCAGCTTCACAGAAGACGCGATCGAAAAACTTCTTTTTAAAATATACTGTGTTATATCCAGTTGCCCACTGTCATATTCATATCGTTTTCACTGTGTGCTCTATGTAAAATTAGCATTACCTTGTCTTTATTTGAAATATATATATATATTATATATATATATATATATATATATATATATTAGAGGTGGGCATAGATTATTTTTTTTTAATCTAGATTAATCTAGATTAAAATGGCTCGTTTGAATTCTACCTTGCATGTAATTTGTAATTAGGCCCAAATATGTTTTATACAAGATTTAACACTGGAATGTTCATATTATTATAAATAGAGTAATCATAATTATTTTATTCTATTGTCAACCCTAGTTTTGAACAGCACGAAATATCATTTTTTTGTTGTTGTTGTTTTTTTCATAAGGTTTTCTTGTGTAATTCTAAACCCATTTGATCTACTTTTCTTCTATGTAACACGAAATGAATTATTTTGTAGTGTCCGGGAAGCTTGCAATACAAATAAATAGAGAGGGATGAAATATCTGATGAATGCATATAATGCATAGCCTAATACAGAAATCAGCTGCTTGAATGACAATTGCTGATGTTATTAGATTTTCAGGTGAGATTCTCAATTAATTCAGTTCCGGATGCTCTGAAATCACTTCATACGTTTTCTGTATCCGATCTTGAAAAGACCAGGTGTAAATGCCGTCCGAAACTCCGATCACTCAAACCACATCAGAAGGTAGTCTTGGCCACATTCCAGACGAAACTGGACATGTGTAAATGCATCTGGTTGTTGAAACCACAATGTTACTACTCCCAAAGTGCTAAAAAAAATAAACGTGTGAGAGCGTGTTATAGGCCATATGTCATGTTATTTTAGTCAGATATGACGGCGCGACGCGCATCACCTCAGATGAGCAGCTGAGCGCCTATCAAGCCCGCCGCAATCTATCGCAAATCAAAGTGAAAGTAAGTCGCAGACACTTAACACTACCATCTTCATTAAAAGTAAAGAAACTAAATGATCTTACCAGGTTGCCGCTCTCTCTTATTGCTGTCTTTCCTGATTTTGAAATTAGCCGATGATCAAAATGCAGCTCATAGGGCCTATCTGTTGCTTTCGGTGACGTGCACTTCATTAAATCCGCATATAGCGGGGGTATTGAAGATCGGATTTATATCCGTTTTGCAAAAACACATGCATGTGACCAGGTGTAAATTGAATCGTTTTGATAAATCAGATAGCTATCCGATCTGAGAAAACACACGAGGTGGTCAGGTACAGCCCCCTAGACGTGGCGCGGCGCTGCGCTTCTCGTTCGGTGTGCGACCCCTTTTACGGATGTGTATTTCCCTCATATTAGATATAAAATGCATCTCTGATATTTTCCTAATGTCTGGATAAACAGACGTTTAATATATTGGTTTTAAATGGCCCTTACGGTCCAATTCGACTACATCTGTGCTAAAATGTCAAAGTGAAAGTCATCATATAGCGCGTGGTATATGGTCAGCTCCCAACTCAACTGTGAGAATAGATTAACGGCGATATTTTTTTATCGCCCGACAAGAGTCTCACGTTAACGCAGCCGATAACGGCCCACCCCTAATTTATATATATATATATATATATATATATATATGATTACCAGTGTGCACGGAATTACCAGATACTGAGTGCCCTGTTAGTGTTTACCTTATTTTTATTCACATATTATCTATTTTAAACAATTACTTTATTTGCGAAAAAAAAAAGCATGTGCATGTCTATTTTAAAGATTTGTTTTGTAATGTATTTACAATTTATGAAATATTGATTAAAATAAATATAAAGAGTATATACACGTAAAAATTTAAAAATATAGAGATATCGGGATTGCCATTAAAAAAAAACAATATCGGCCAACCACTATTTGAAAAGCCTCCGTTTTGTTTGACAATACTTCAAACGTCAACAAGAAGTTACGACACCCAACATTGCTTAGAGCACCTTTAAAGTAAAGTTAAATTCGTCAACTATTAAGAACAACAGGCACTAGTAAGAATCTGTAGCTAGCTTGATCTAGCTACAGATTCTTACTAGTGCTTACTAGTTACTTACTAGCTTGATCTAGCTACTTGAGCTAGCTAGGGAACCTTAAGAGTGAATGGCGATCTCCAGATGGATGCTATTAATGATTTTGCACCAGAAGCCATTTACAATATATTAAACAATTAATAGAAGTTGGGCAAAGGTTTGATCTCCTTAGTTCCATAAATGACCCAAAGTAAATGTAATGTAAAGGCACTGACCATAATTTTCTTAGTATCACAATGCATTCATATTTAATACTTTAAAAGAAGTATAAGTATCGGTGGCGCATATGCATTACTGAGATGAGACTTGCTCAGGGGAAAAAGCGAAATACAGCAAATTACAATGACATTAAAGAACATTGTACATGCTGATACAGCACAAACTGAACTAAAAACAAAGCTTTTTTGTGTGAAAACATATGGGTGAAGTCAAACACAGAAGCACGGAGCAGCAGAGACACTAACAGGTGCTTGTTTTTGTACAAACACGAGTGAACTGCAAGCAAAGCAACTTCAGAATGTACGGGTTGTAAATTTCATACACACAGGGGAAAACGCTGTTATCATATGCGTGGAGAGCGTATCAAACTTCATGTCTGCATCTGCTGCGAGTTTGAGTTGCTTATAACGTTCATCTAGGAACGCATTTCATCAGATTTGTTGTATAAATTATTTATAAACATGTCAACATAGGAGAATACATCAATATATTTTTCTAAATAGACAAACTGTCCATCGTGATTTTAAAATAAAAAGTTTAAACCCTCTCTGAGTTTGAATGTTTTGATGTCCACATGTTCTTGTTGAAAAAATGATAGTAGCTGTAGCATTTTTATCAATTACGAACTGGACAAATTTTAAAGATAAAGTGGACATTTGAATTGAACTGTTTGGCCATTATGTACACTACGTCATATATGAAATCAAATGGTTACTAGCTTTTGATACTTTATTTGAATCAATTATTATTGCCTCACTGTAATTATGTATTTTAAGCCATTTTAAATGCTATTGTTTGCGTAGGTCTATTTTTATTACCACACAATAAATTAACCGTCAAAACAATCGACCGCTTACTCGATTACCAATATAATCATTAGTGACGGCCTTAATATTTGTCAATTTTTACAAATATTACTTAATTTATTAATCCAGTTTAACAATTATTTTTTAATCTGATTCAATGTTAATATCATAGTACGAACTGAAATGTATAAATATATTACATGGTAAAAAAATATGCATAAATTAATCTTGATTAAATAATACTTAAAGTATTTTCATTGTTAGTTCATGGTACCTAATGTATTAGGCTAAACAATGTTAATTTGAAACCTGATAGTGTTATGTGTAAAACTGTTCTCCTTCTTTATAGTGCAAATGAATGCAAAGTCAGCTCTTTGTTCGCTGTTATCAGACGTTATCTTAAATTTGCTAAACCTGAAAGGTGAAACGTTGCCCTTCCTTTTTAAAGAATACCATTGATTTTGACTGACTACTGATTTAGATTTTTCATTTAAATTATTGTTTGGTAAAACCAACTCAGGACAACAATGATAGATAGAGAACTAATATGATCAAACTAAGAGGTTTAACTAACCGGAAAATCCGGTTAAGAAAACCCAAACTTTTCCACCATAAACTACTTGATTCATTTAAAAGGGTTTGTAAACCAACATATGCTGGTGTTTACATTGTACTCTGTCAACGATATGGAGGAGGAAGATGGGATTGCACTAGTAAGCAACTAGTAAGTTTGTGTATATGCTCTGGATATATTTTGTTAAGGTTTATGACCTAGACATAAGCCTAAGCAGCATAACCCTTAAAGCTGTATAATTTCAGTTAAAATAGTTGATCCTATACAAGCTAGATTCTAACCAATTAATATTACACTTCATATACATGAAGCCTAAAAGCCCATAGAGTCTACCATTTGTCATTTGAGATTTCATAAGTGTGCTCACAAGCTCCTCCATTGTGGCCACCATGTACCAATTTGGGACAAGGCCTATCTGTATTTGTTTGACTGACCAAAGGGAGATGGGAAACCTGGAGACCTGATTGATTGAAAGCTTTATTTTTGTGGTTCCATTTAGTGGTCACAAAAATGAAACTTTATTTGTTCTTTTTATGAGCTGATTTCTAAGTTGCATGTTTGCATGCAGACAGACATACATAGGTCACATATGCATTTACCTTCGATTGATGGGGCTTGATCCTGTGCGGAGTACAACATTTCTTTAAAAGCCTGTGGAGAAGAGAAGAATATGAAACACCATTTACAGAGGTCAGACAATTGGCTTTCATATTACACAGCAGCATGTGACTGGCACTGTGCCCGTACTGACTGATGAGGGAACCTCTGCCAGGATACAGACGGAGTGAGAAGAAAGTCATGAGTTCTTGAGTGCAGAAGAGGAAGCACTAAAACTAAAAGTATAATAGAGGAAATGGGTGTTAACTTTGTCCAAATCTAGAATCAGATATCCCCCGATGTCCTTAAAAAAGAAAAAAAGAAGGACAACACAATGGCTTCGCAGCAAAACTGCAGGGATGCCACCATTTGATTAGAAGGTTTTGGTTTTTTTTTTAAGTAAAACACACAATTGCACACACACACATATTTTATTTTTATTAAATACAAATGTGTATGAATTGCTATATGCCGATTTTTGGGAGTAATCGCTGAATAGTTTAAGACAGAGAAAAATTAAACTGCAAATTAGTGCTGCACAATCCCTATTATTTTATTATTATTTTAACCCCTATTATTATTGTTGATTAACAGAACTAGAATTCACCAACAGAAATCATAATTTAGGCCTATATTATAAATTATTTTTGTGTGGGGAAACATTAGGCAAAATTTTTCAAGTACTGTAGTCTCAACTCAAGTACATTCAATACAACCCGACAACCATTTTTGAATTAGTTTATTACGTTTTATGCATCAATAAATCAAGACAGTGGCATTGCTATTGTTATTTATCGTAATTTCGGGAGGGATTTACAGTGTTACGCAGAACTATAATTTAGGGCATTCATTCCGATTGATCGGGCTCTAATATTTATTGGCCGATAATAGCTTTATAAAATTTGATCTGAAGTTTGTCACTATAAAAGACGATCAAGGCGAAAATAGAGCCTATAGCTTGTTTTCACGTGACGTCACGCCCCTGCGTTGCCATGGCGCGAAACACAGATTGAGGGCAGGAAGTGATTTTTTATATTTAGGAAGCACTATAAAAATGCCTATGTTTTGCGTCGTTTACGGTTGCTCAAATCGATCAAACCACGAGGAGTTTTTATCGTGTGCCAAAGGTTGTTCAAAAGGGAGGAAAATACAAGAAATTAACAGAAAAACATCGGGAAAAATGCCTTGCAAACCTGCGTCTGCGGTCGGGAGGAGCTGAATGGGAAAATGCCTGTGTGTGTGTGTGCAGTGATCACTTCGTCAAATGTGAGTTAATACATTATTTATGTGGCTTATAATTACATTATTCAGGTGTTTAAATACACTTATGTGGCTGTTTGTGTAACGTACCAGTTTCCGAACTTTGTAAAGTCAAAGTATGTCTGTAAGACGAGTTAGTTGCTGATATCTACAGCCTTGATGGCAGGCAAATCTCTCAATTCAGTTGAAAATCGGTCCTCTTCATAACGTAAGGATCACGTCCAACATGTTTTGATTTTCTGTTTATACATGTCTCTTGTAATAGTGCAAAGTGGTACAGTACGGATTTTCCTCCATCTCGTCCATTACGCTCTTCACTCCTTGCCCTCCATCTGCATTCCGCGCGTCAACACAATCACGTGACTGAAAACCACATATTGTTGCTAAACTGCAGGATGTGCTCGATAATAAAAAGTGTTATTAAAAGTGCATTAAGCCGCGAAAGATCAAAACGGGCTTCAAGACGAATTCACACCGGTGAGCATTTCTTGGTGAGCATTCGCGTAAACACAGTCGGTAATGTTTTAAAGGGTTAAATCACGTTGAAATATTTTACCATTAGTTAAACTTGAGAGCAGTAATCGTAAAAAGTTTGTGAGTTCCATGTCTAATACTTAGCTGATGTCATAGGCTATAACAATTTGTTTTATTCAGCAGCATGCTTTTCAATTACTATTAAGATTTTACTTAATATGAAAAACTACAATGATGTTGTGGAAGGAAGCCTCGCCTTTATTCGACGCACTGGGTGAAAGGTCATACAACGCAGTGGAGGAACAGTGAGAAGTGAAAGAGGCAGTAACTTTGCCAGTGGAACTCAAATCAATAACAACATATCAATATTTGGCATGCCCTATATTAGTTGTTGTTATGCCTCATTGTTACATCACAAGATATTGACAGGGAAACAATTGCTCCCAATCAAGCTCCTCTAACTCATCTCACGATATTGTGGCCCAGGATGAGGCTACTGCTTGCATGTTTTAAATGATAAATCAAGTTTGAGGTTGATGAATGTTAGGTGAACGTTTGCAGATCACTTTTTTGGTTTATTCTTAACCCTCTCAAAATTATCCAGTTTGCATCTTCTGTCTGACAAAATTATCACATGGGCCGCGTTAATGATCTGTTCGTCGTGGACTTCATGACTTCATCACTTCCTGTGGAGTTTTTTTTTTTTTCTCTCTCTGTTTAAATTTGGTCAACCAAGCCTCTTCTCATCAACTAACGTTTGGTCAACTATTAGGGGGCAGCACTACTATTCATACAAATAAATGGCACAGAACAGTGCATAAGCTCACGGAGCAGAGCGATTACATAATGCTTTGACTGCTAAAAAAACAAAACAAAAAAACAATGTTGTTCAAAAAGTGACGTCCAAATTACAAGCAATTCTGCAGTATATAGCGCAGTCAAGTCTGCAGCAAAAAAAATAAAAAATAAATTCCTGAAAGAAAACATGAGCTCAGAGGGATCGTGGCCTTGACAGCAGCATCTGTCATCATGTTTACTTGTTCTACCAGCAGGCCAGCATTCACCACATTACCATGACAGAGAAAAAGTTCCTCTAGTTTTTGACTTCAGCAGGCTTTTTGAAAGAGCAATATGTGTGGTTGTGCATTATGTTGCATTGTAGTATAAATAGTGTGAGTAGTGTTGACACACTGAAAATTCCGCCCAAAAAAAAAAGTGCACTTTAGATACTCGGATGATGGTCTTCATTAACCGGAAAAGGAATGCAATGTTCAGGGCTCAAGACTGCGACTATTGTTCCTGGCGGTGCGACCAAAATTTGATATAGGTCGCGCTGACGCGACAACAACGTTGCCCAACATTAAATGGCAAACGAAATGAAAGCGGAATGAAACTGCGCTACTCGTTTGTGCTTCACGGACCGTTTATTACTTCGGATCAATAATACTCAGCGGAGCGACGCAAGCTACTCGCCAGTCGCGGGTCGATCTCGATCACGCGACGCCGTTACTACACAGTGGTGGGAGATCCGGTGAAGAAATCTGATGAATTTGCCACAAAATTAATAACATTGATGTGAGATTCAGTGAGAAACATTCAGATGTGGTGCAGAATTGAAGGCTTTATAGAAGGCTTTAAAGGAGTAGTTCACTTTTAAAAAAGCTTTTGCTGATAATTTACTCACCCCCATGTCATTCAGTTGAAAAGAAATTAAGAACATTCCAGGATTTTCTCCATATAATGGACTTCATTGGGAACCAAACGGTTCAAGGTCCAAATGAGAGTTTCAGTGGCTTTAAACGACACCAGACGATGAATAAGAGTCTTATTATAGGACCCTTCAAGTCATGACTCGAAAAAAGATTCATTCATTTTGATGAACGAGTTCGAACAGGAGAGTCACGAACACTCATCACAGAACAGAGCAAGGCGAGCATTTGTGCTTATAAAACTAAAACTTTTATTTATTTTTGAAATGGCCGATTGTTTTGCTAGATAAGACCCTTATTCATCGTCTGGTGTCGTTTAAAGCCCTTTGAAGCTGCACTGAAACTCTCATTTGGACCTTGAACCGTTTGGTTCCCAACGAAGTCCATTATATGGAGAAAATCCTGGAATGTTTTCCATCAAAAATTTCTTTTTGACTGAAGAAAGAATAACATGGATATCTTGGATGACATGGGGGTGAGTAAATTATCAGCAAGTTTTTTTTAAAAGTGAACTACTTTAAGTCCACAAATGAGCAACATTCACCACGGATTTAATGTAGTAACACTAACTGTAATAACTATGGTATTGTGACAGAAATAGTCAAATGCTTACGAGTACAGCACATGCTTCCAGCACTTCAAAACTATATCATATTCAAATGTTATTTTTGATGTGATGACCAAAACATTTTTTTGTTCGTCCGTCAAAGAGTGTTCACATTTACAAAAGAAGTAGGAAATCTTGCGTAAAAAAAGAAGAAGATTAAATTACCATTGTAACGTTTAGGTGGCTGCAGAGGAGAGCTTATTATCTATTTTTTTCACTCATTTTGCTTTTGAATTAATTTTAAGACATTATGAATGCTAATGATTAAAGTTAATTTTATCTACACCTCAAATTAAGCTTAGTGGTTTATTGTCAGCCCCCCCATTGCTACCAAATCCTTTCGGTAGAATTCAGTGGCTCCGATACGGCTGCCCTCAAATGTTAGTCTGGACTGGAGCCCTGTGAACTTAAAATAACACTGCACATACTAATTTATGTACGTTCATGTCTATTTATTACCAAGGCATTTGTCAATAATACAGTCCAAATAGGGGGAAATGTGAATAACTGCATTGCAGGATGATTTAAGGTGTGCCCCTAAAAAACAGTTAGTCTGAAGCCCTGTAATGTGTCATTAGGGTCACAACTTTCCTCTCACTTCTCTTTCTGAGCGTCAGGAATCATGTGATAGCCCACACAAAACACGAAAATCAGCATAAAATGCTCATATCTCTAAATAAGCTGACATCAGCTTTGTCAAGACTGTGCGACACAAAAAAAGGGTCAGAGAACATAACAAACCAACACAGTCATAGCGTCCAGACAAAGTGGGCAAAACATGAGGAGAAAAACAAATTGTCCTCAAGATCAAAATGAAGGCAGGTGAGAGAGCATGATAAAGTGAGTGTGGCGTAGAAAGCAAATCATTCACCAGTTGACTTTTTCGCCATCATTTAGATTCGATTCAAGCATGTACAATCTCAAACACTCCCTCGCAAACACAATCTGCCGCGTAGTGTACCACTCTCAAAAAGGGATGATGACTAATTAATTAGCCAATGTCCAAGAGGAAGGCAATAATCTCATTATGTGTAGGCCATTAAACCCTGAAGGAGCTGCAGTACACTAAAGCCCTGTCAACTCTAGCCCAGTCCACTGTCGTAGACAAAGAAAACTGCCTCGTATGCTCTCATGTGAAATAATGAAATTATGTAGTCTGCTAAGCATTACTCTTTGAAGCTCTGTATCACCATCATATATGTTTATTTTAAGAGAATGTCTCCTGTAGGTAAATAGACCTGAAAATCAAGATGGGAAAAAAAAACTGCAAGGCAATGTCGAAAAAAATTTAATGAACACATACACATAGCCATTCCTAAATGTTTTATGTATTAAATAGAGATGAAAAATTTAGGTTTGCAGTACTATTAATCTAACACAATGCTAGATTTTGGTCATTGGTATGAGCTTGATTTACTTAAATTTCAATTCATTCACAAATATTAAGATTAACCAATACTACTAATGTATTATAAATCATTCGTTTTATTTCCAGATCTGAAGTAAAATCATAATTTTATGTCCAAGCTGAGTGTTTACAGTGATTTGTTGTTTAACAACAACAATAACGTTAGCACTACATCCTGGAGTTTAGTCAGTGGATTGACGTCATGGCGTGTAACTTAACGATATTTAATTGATGAACCTGAAACTATCGTTTTGTCCTTCTTCTGGTTCAGATTATATTCTGTAATAACTATATTAATCAAGCTGAACACGAGAAGTGCGAAACATCTCTTGACTCATTCACCTGCATCCCTGCCGCTCATAAAGACCCACATTAGCTTTGAATGCTATCAGCTGTTAGCTTTCGATTACAGACCAACACTGAACAGATATTACAGTTATTAATCACACAAATCCATATGCACGCCTGTCTTTCGATTAAATATTACATTATAATGTCAGGTGACTTGTTTCTGACAGATTCAATGAGCTGAATGGAAACTGTCTGATGTAAAGTAGCTCAACGTTGCTTTTCTTCATCTCTTACCTCATATTGAATGTATTGTTTCCTCCACTCCGGGGTGATGTGGGCAGATAGATGCTCGGTAAATTTCATTTTTTTAAATGTTCTTGGTGTTTTTGTCTGAGGAGAGTCTCGAGCTGCTGGAAAATTACCAGTGAATCATCGCGAGCAGAAAATCACCCTCAGATTAACGGCTGTTTTTCGCTGCTCCGCGATACACATATTCAGGGGAAATATTGCGATATTTTCAAACAGCCGCCCCAAGTGTTCCTCATTATCCCTTCAGGTGATTTTTCAAGTGCTGCGGGACGCTGATAGCAGTGGTTTATAGGGCTGCAGGAGCTCCAGACAGGGGTCTTTTCTCCCTGATATCTGAGGCTGAAGCTCCAGCGGCAGCCATCATTGTCGGAGAATGACGTCACGGCACGTCACCACAGTGAGGATGTTTTCCAGCTCGCGGTATGACCAGTCATGCCTCTTAAAATAATACTGTGAATTATAGAAGTGCGAAATCAAGGGCAGGTTATTCTTAACGAAAGGTAACGTTTCTCGTCGGATGGAAGTGCATCTGGATTGGCGTCGCGTGAAAGAAACAGCCTGTTTATCATTGATAGTTCGTTACAGCGTATCTAGACTGAGTGACATGTTTCTCAACCGAGTCCAAGGCTCAATCTACAAAGCAGCACTGTCTATTTCTGTGCTGTCCACTCACCTATTACTCTCTACAAGATCAGTCTTGTCCGTTAAATATATTTTTTTTTATGTATATCATGTATTTATTCGTTAATTCATTCAATTTTAGGTTGCTAAAATCTGAGGAACAATTAAATATTCATAAAAGGGTCAGATCTGGAAAAAAGGCTGATCAGTAATTTCCGTATTATGATTACATTCCAAGATGTTACTAGTTATTCACATAGTTATTTAAACATTTTTACAACATATATTTCCCAGATCCACTGATATTTTCCAGATCCCCCACTTTGAGCATAACAATTATCAACAGAAATAAAATAGAAATATTTTATAAGGAAATAAGACTTTCCAACGCAAATGAAGAATCTTTCCTTCCCAACAAGTCAGCAAATATGTATATTTAATAAACAATGAAAACAACAGCAAAATGAGCAGAGAGCACTGAAAAAAAGTACAAAATAACATTTTAAAATAATCACAAAACATTATTCCCATATAATTTTCGTACCATATAATATGCAGGTCTATGTATGATTTTCTAGTATACTGAAATTAGAAGGATATTGCTATTATAATAAGCTGGACTTATTATAACAAAATCTCCAATTTTTTTCTTAAGAGCTAAAACAATCTAAGAGGGTTGAATGTGCGTGGAAAAGCTGCCCTGTACATCCGCATGGAATTAGTCATATTGTTCCATCAGTGTGCTGTGGATCTCCAGGAACGTTGGTCTTTCTCTGGCATTTCTCTTCCAGCAGTTGAGCATGAGGCTGTACACTGAATCAGGACAGCAGGATGGCATTGGCAGATAGACCTGAGGGGTTCGAAAAACAGCTCAGCACTGACACCTTTTGATTTTTCCAAGTTATGACATGGATTTTTCCTGACTCATCTTGCAGTGCCAGCTATTTTTAGGTATATTTTGACTGTGGAAGGCATAGACCCATGACATGTTCATCCAATCATTGCATTCGGTCCAAATGGGGTCAATTTTATATAATTTCAAATATAAAAATGAATAATAAAATACCAGGAATAATAGTAGAATAATGCAAATAAATAGTAAAATATAATAATAAATTAAACATATTTAGATTAAGATGCAAAAATACACATATTTTGTCAACAAATTAACATTAAAATATTATATTATTTTAATTAAAATAAATAAATATTAAAAGAAAAAAATCTATTTATAAATGCGGGAAATTACAGATTTGTTAAGCATTACACAAGGGAATAATGTTATCAAATTAGTTATTTTTTTGTATTATGAGATTTTTTTATTTCTGTCTCTGACGGGCGATTTCCTAGTTCTGTAAAGGTTAAAACAGCTTTGCTGTACATGAAAATTATTTACACAGATACTGAAAGACTTGGCTTGCCATTATAATGATTACACGCATTGTAAGTCTCACCTGTTTGTTTTGGTCTCTAAAAAATTCGCCCTTGTTTTCGATCACCTGTTCATCTGTAAATTGGGCGTACGGCTGTTCCTTGCACAGGGTTAGAATCTCCCACAGGGTCACCCCGAATGCCCACACGTCACTGGCCATGGTGAACTTACCCTGTAGAAACACACATGGTCAAACAGGTGTGAGTTTAAGGTGCCGCATATTTGACTCCATCAGTCTTACCAGAAGGATGCTCTCCCAGGACATCCAGCGGATGGGGAGCACAGCTCGTCCCTGTATGCGGTAGTAATCTCCACGATACAGGTTTCGGCTCATGCCAAAGTCAGCGATCTTGATGGTGTTATTTGTGCCCACTAAACAGTTGCGTGTAGCGAGATCACGGTGAACAAAATTCAGAGATGACAGATACTTCATTCCAGAGGATATCTGAGAGGCCATGTTGATCAGTTTTCTGTAGCTAGAGAGAGAAAGAAGACATTTACTGTATTTTATGCTAAATTTACATCTCATGAAACATACTATTCATATGGCTTCACAAGACGCAGAAATCAAATCAGCAACTCCTGAGTGTAGTGTTTGCACTGAAAGAGAAACAACCATGTTGTTTACAAAAATGCATGTATATCATGATTCATGGATAGTGACAGTCTCCATTGTGTATACCCAAAATAAACAATTACTGTGCATAAAAAATTCAAGTTTACAGAGTTTTAGTGTCAGTACTACATCAAACTACTATATAATGTTGAATATAAAGTATAATAATGTAATGAGTGAATATTTGTGGGTCCTGATAATGCTCAATGTTTTATGTTACTAGTAAAAAGTGGCCTACATTATTTTAAACATTTCTAATCAGTGACAGAGTGCAAGCATCATCTAAAATAATTCTGTATTTTCAGCTTCAGAGTGATTTTTTTTTCTGGTGTCACTATTGTGTGCATTGGGTTTCCTGCACCGCAAGTCCAAGCCTATTCATTTACAACCACAATGTAATATCAAAATTAGCATTTTAATCAACAGTACATTTCTAATTAAGCCCCAGCTGCTCCCGACGAGCAGGCTGGCAGCTTGTATGGCTGACACCGCCGTCGGTGTATGAATGAGTGTATGAATGGGTGAATGTGAGGCAAATGTAAAGCGCTTTGGTGGCCATTAGGTCTATGAAAGCGCTATATAAATGCAGTCCATTTACCATTTACCATTAACCTTTTATCATAATCTTGCAGTATCGCAATAATATCGGATTGTGAGTTCATATTTAGGCCTATATATACAGTATATCGAATTGTGACGATGGTATCATTACACCCGAAATGAAAAGAAAAAGTTTGGGAGTAGCAAATTACAAGTATTGCATGTTATGTAATCAGATTACTTTTTTACTATTTGATTCACTACTTATTATTACTTTTAAATTAATATTAAAATATCTGAGTTACTATTTCAAATAAGTAACGCAAGTTTCTTTGTTCTGCCATTTATTGACTGTCACCTCATCTGCGCAGATGTGGAAACATGATGGTTATTGCAGTTCTAGACTAATGTGAACATGCATGAACGTCTCAGGTTACAACTGTAACCTATGTTCCCTGAGAACAGGGTACAAGACAATACATCATTGAGGTGACTAAAATCAAGTATCAACTCACAGCAATCATGTTGACCGGCGAATGCCCGTCAACAGCTCGAATGATGAGCACACCACCTGGATGTATAAAAAGGGTGCCTTGAAACCGTGACAACATCCTATCGTCTGAAGGGACTGTTGCAGGCAGTACCCGAAGTATGGCAGGGAGACTCAATCCCCGTTCTCTGGAAACATAGTTACAGTTGTAACCTGAGACATTCCCTTTCAAAGGGTACTCAACAATACGCCATTGATGCTATGGGGAAAGAAATACCCACGCCATACTGAGGGGAGTGCATGCCCAAGGGCAGTAACAACTGTCAGAACACTGGGCTGTCAGTGACAGCACTCCCTACCGGTCATAGCCCAGGCTAATGAACCAAGAAAACTGCCAGAACATAGTTCACGGAAGGTATATCTGGTCCAGCTCAAAGGCTTAGAACCATGACTTCCTAATAGAAGCGGTCCCTTCTAGGGAGTGTGACAAGGAGACCCAAGGGACTCACATCCAGTCACTATTCAGGAGAACATGCCTCCTGACATGCCACCAGGCTGGCCTGGTGATCTATACTAAGACATTGCCTGGTGAGGAATGTCATAACCAGGAAGGCCTGGCAAGGCCTGTAACCTGGTGACCACTGTGAGAGGGAGCTCATATTAGGAAGGCCTAGTAAGGCCTTTAACCTGGTGACCACAGTAGGTGGGAGCTCAGCTCACTTTACCATACATTACCTTGCTTACCAAACATGTCCCCAGCTCTGTACAGGAGACGAGTTCTGAAAAAGAGAAAAATGTTTTTACGCAACATAAAACCTGCAGTGTGCGTAATGAAGCACACCAGAGTTCAGGATCTCAGAAACATGAATTTTACTGTTTCACAAGCCAAGGGAAGGGGCTCCTATCAACCAGGCTGAAGCGGGCCATCGGAGAATTCTTGAACTCCGACCCAGGCCTGATGTAGAAGGAGCCTGGGAGCGATGGTGATAAGGAAACAATATCCAGGGAGGTGAGGTCTAATATTCAGTCTGAGAATGTTTCCTCCCGATCAACTCCCTAAGATCCTGCCTCCTGCAGGAGTTACGCTAGGAGGAGAGGGTGCATGGGAAGCGACACTGGCCTTCTGGGTCTGTTTGTGATCCTCAGACCACGACAGACCAGGCTCTGCCTGGGCTGTGCCAAGGACCTCCGTGGTATGCAGCTCTTAAACGCCGCAGAGCATGCCCTCACCTCCCTGAACTTATCGACTGCCGTCTTGACGGAAGGTCCGAAAAGCTCAGAAGGCGAAACCGGCAAATCGGGGAGAAAGATTTTTTCTTTCTCCCCGATGTAAGCCTGGTTGAGCCACAGATGTCTCTCTGTGGCCACCATAGCTGCCATCGAACGACTGATGGAAACGGCGGACTGTTGGCGGAGAGTCAAATCCGTGATGCGGTGCAACTCTGCGACTGTGTCAGGGGACAGGCCGGCCCCTGATCGAGGTCCCGCAGCAGGTCGCCCTGGTAGGCCTGAAGGACCGCAAGGGTGTGCAGAACCGCACCTGCCTGACCTGCTGCTGCGTACGCTCTGCCATTCAAGCATGATGTAGTCTTAAGCGGCTTGGATGGCAGGGTCGGAGCTCCCAGTGACGAAGACCGACCAGAGGTGAGATAGTTAGCCAAAATCTCGTCCACCGGCGGCATCAACACATACCTGTGCTCCGTGGCCCCATCCGTAGCAGCGAAACTAGCCCGCTAATGTAGATGAAGACGCGTGGAGAACGGGTTCCTCCATGCCTTCTTGATCTCAGAATGGAGATCGGGAAGGAATGGAAGGCTCGTCTGAGCTGGTGGCTTACCTGTAGGGAGGAACCGATCGTCCAAAATACCACAAGAAGGTTCCTCCCGGACATGCCTCCACTGCAGCTGCAACTTGTCCACCAACTCAGCGTACTGGGCAGGAGGGCTGAGATGGTTCAGTCCTAACCAGTCCTAACCTGATATCATCGGCAGCCGACTCCTGCCCGGCCCGAAGAGAACCAGTTACAGATCCATCAGAAAGAGAAAGAACCTCCTCTACATCGACCTGTAACTCACCCGTCACCTGTCAGATCATCCCATCAGTTAACACCCCTCTCCAGCTGATCTGAGAGCCCCACGAGCTCAAGGGCCGCTGAGCCACAACTTGAGCGGGACCGCCACCGTGGGGTTCAGATGCCGCGCCTACTTCCCTCGAGAAGTGGGACAGTTTGTGCAGGAAGCTCTCTCTCGAGAGCTTTCTCCGCATGCTCGTCACCAGGCAGAAAACGTACAGATCGTGTGAATCCTCCACTGTCAGATATCTGAGACACGGGTCGGCACACTTGCAGAAAGTATTTCTCCTCTTCTTTCTGTACGCTTCATTTTCTCGTTGATTACTTTCAAACAGACAAAACACAGATCTCACACAGAGTCCCTTTAAGTGAAAATTCTACTTTCGTGTTATAGGTAGCATAATTTAGCTTTAGTTTGTGGTGAAAATAAGAAAAAACAAAGAATGTTGACCTAATGTTTAGTGTCTACAGAAATATGTATGGTTTAAGTCTTAAACACAAATGTTTTGTAATATTAAATACAAATTGAAGGTTTAAATAAAACTATAGATATGGATTGAAATAATAATACTACTAATAACAATTTGGCTGTATATATAACTGATATACCTGATGGTAGCCGAATCACCGTCCTGAACTCCTTCATCCTGCAGCTCATGACGGGACAGGAACTGATTGAGGTCCCCGTTCTCCATGTACTCCGTGATCATGCACAGCGGATCGCTCTCAACGCACACGGCCAACAGGCGAATGATGTTCGGGTCTCTTAATCGTGAGATGATCCTGATCTCTTTCAAGAAGTCGTTCCTGAAAATGTAGATTTCCTTGAGGAAAGTTTAAACTGTCCTAAAATGGCTGGACAGCATCTGTAAAGCAAAAAAGCAGTGCTTCTCAGCAACAACAGGCACGTGACATCGATTGCGGGACACCTGCACCTGTGTGGTACCTCGCGTTTTTGTCTGCATCCTCTCTTAGTGTCTTGACTGCTACGAGCATTGGCTCATCATCACTGATGTCACCACAATGGTCCTTCATGAATTCCTGCATACCCTCAGCTTCACACAGATGAACCTGCGGCAGGTATGAACACATATAACAAATAGAGTGACCAAGAATAGCTTTTTGGCAAAGTCAATTGTTCGCCAACCTCTCCAAATTGTCCTTCTCCAAGTTTTTCTTTAAAAGTCAGTCTCTCCCTTGGAAACTCCTCCAGAGCTCCATCCCGTCCTGGAGATAAGGGCATATTGACCACAGTGACACGGTAACTGTGAGCCCCAGTGGTTTCCTGCTGGGTCACAATGTCTGCCTCTGCGTAGTGTGGGACCTCATCTGTAGGGTGGCCCATAGAGGGTTCGGAAGGGGCATCGATCATTGCTGTAACATCACCATATGAACACACTGTGTTATGTTTTTAAAGGAATAGTTCACTAAGACTAAAAACTAAGACTTTAGTTTAGGGTACAATTTTCACTATTAACTAGTAGTTTGAATATTACTAGGATTTTGGCTATTTTATCAGTACTTATAAAGCACATATTAAAGGAGTAGTTCACTTTAAAATGAAATTCAGTCCATGATTTACTCACTCTCATCTTCTTTCAGACAAATACAATTGGAGTTATATTAAAAAAATGTCCTGGCTCTTCCATGCTTGATAATGGCAGTGAATTACAATCAACAGTTTGAAGCTCAAAAAAGTGAATGATGATGTCCAGCCTCTCATAATACATTTAATTGAGAGATTTTCAGTGAATAACGCCCTAAATGTTGGCTATTCATCAAAGCAATTTTATATCTTTTTAGAGCACTTGGAATATAGCACAGAAGTCATTTAAAGCAGCACTATGTCATTTTTTCAACCTTTATAATATTTTTCCAAAACCCTTGAGATGGTACATCGACTTACAATAGGTTGAATGACAGGTCAACCATAGCCTGACAGTGTCTATATCGCTTTTATTACCACTCTGTAACTCCGAACACAAAAAGAACTACAAAATTTGACTGATTTACGGTATACATCACTTCCCCCACTACCTCAAATTCTGACGCGAGAGCTCAACGAGCTTTTTTTAAAATTTATTTTACCTCTGTATGTTGTCATGTCTGAAGCAGCAAGTAAAACCAATTGTGAAGTGCGTCAGAAACAGAGCGCGTGCGCAATCAGTTTACTGTTGGTAATGTGTTGTGTAGCTTCACCCCTCACCGTATCCAATGTAGACTACACTGCTTTCTTCTGAGGGTGCTTAACACACTAAAACATCCCCGTAGAGCTGGGGCGGGCAGCTCGCTCCAGCTCGAGTCATTAAAGTATACTGATTTCTGAGTTTAGTAGGGGCTACATTCTTGCAAGTAAATAATTAATGATTAGACGGACCAAAATAATCGGTCAGGATAATGTTTGTTATTTATTTTTCTGGTGAAAGTGTCTTGCCTCTTTTTCAAATTTGCATATTCATCTATACTATGGTAGCTTCAGCTTGATATTCTAATATTGACGCCATGGCTATTATCTACCACACAAACATTGAGTTGAATTAGCATATCCATTATGTAAAACAGTAGCCAATAGGTTAACGTTACTATAAAGACGCTGGCTTGTAAACGTGAGCTATGCGATCTTTTGACTTTTGAAAAAAAAAAATAAAGCCCATGAAACTATTCATAAGACATGCTGAAATATATGCCAATGTACCTGGGATGAAGACAGTTCACACACAACGCTGGCAGTCTGCCCAAGATGTGAGAACTCCTTCCTTCTGCAGAGTTCGGGGGTATCGCTTGTCAACAAATGCACGCGTGTATTCCCTGGTGTAACCATGACACACTTTACGACAGTAGTAGAAGAGACAATACTGTTTCCCAACTGTAGGGGGACCCTGCGAGCAAAACTTAAAAAATAACATAATGCTGCTTTAAATACTTTCATAGTGAATTTTTGGTGTTTTTTTGTCCAGACAGACAAGGCCACACTGAACTGTCATTGTATCGAACACCGCTGGAGCGCATTGATTTTTTTCTTCAAAATAGTGTCTCCATGTGTTCCACAGAAGAAAGAAAATCTTACAGGTTTGGTGTGACGTGAGGGTGAGTAAATGATGACAGAATGTTCCTTTTTGGCTAAAATTTTCCTCCGTACACATAATGAGCATATAATGAGACGGAATGAATTGACCCATAAAAATCCATAATTCTTGAACACTGAGTAGCCCTAACCAAGGTTTTCAGTAGCCTGAAATTCTGGTAGTTTCCGTAAAAGTTGGGATGGCTCCTGATAGTCAGATCCCATGGGGAAAATCCTTTCATATGTGGAACTGGATTCAACATAACTGGACAGAGAAGAGTGACGGCGTGCGAACGCCTCTCTCTGAACAGAAAGATGCACATTCAGCTCATCGTCCAGCATACGCCGAGAGGCCTGTAAATGTTACAAACATGTTACATTAATAATCACAAGCTGACAGGGTGAATTTTGATTGTCATGATATACAGCTTTCTATAGCAAAAGATTACCAATAGTCATTTTATGCACAGCAAATGTACAGCAGGCATCAAACTCAAGTGTATAAAGTTACCTTCTCAATCATCTTCTGCCACACCTGCCGCCATAGTATGATTATTATGATGGCCAACAGAATGACAATAACGGCCACCAAACAGCCTATTAGGATCCGTGTGTGGCTGTCATCAATTTTGTGGGTTGGATCATCCCCTGAAGAATATTAAGCATAGAAAAGATGATACAAAATATTTATATTTCACAGAATCAAAATTTCTGTGAAAATGGAGATCCTTTCCTAAAGCTAATTGAGTTGTGTTCTAATGATTATATAAAAAGTCGATGTTATGATTTCTCCCAATCACACAAAGTAAAAATATTCAGACCCCATCCTTTTTCTTCTTCTTCTTCTTTTTTTTTTACATTTGAATATGCAGCATTATGCTAAAACTCAACTTAATCTTGTGAATAAAAATGTTTTTCCATTTAATGTATGTGGCATGAAGTAATGAACATCGGGGGGCGCTGTTGCCTGCAAATTTAAATTGTACTGTAAAACTGTAACAACCAAGTGACACCACAAAGTATTTTGAAGGGTAAAGTAATTATACCATTTACCTGGATAAATACCTGGGGGTTGGTTACGTTTACGAGGAACAAAAGAGGTGTTGTACATCGCTGTATCTGAAAGGTGAATTTATGTAATAGGCATTTTAAACTGTAGCAGTGCTTTATTTTTAGTCGACTATTAATATGCTAAACTAAATAGGCCTAACAGATAAGAAAATGAGAACTAGAGATGAGAGAATTAAACCTCAATTACCTGACTGGAAAGCAATTTCACTGAACATCATCCAGATGCCATTGAATACAAAACGACACCTAATTGTGCTGGCCATGCGGTTGCCAAGGGCAACAGTGACAAACCGAGCAATAGGACTGATGTTGTCCGCTTTCGGCTTGAACATCACAGGATTGGGCTCCCAGTCTGAATCCGAACGAAAGTGACAGATGGCCTGTCGGAAGATTTTTACTCCCCTTGTGTACATGTTGTTGCAGTGGACCTATTAAACAGAAGGATAGGCCTACCCATTTAATACAAAATAATAACAATACATACATAATACATACATAACCCCTTCCAGTCACCATACAAAAAGATGGTTCTTTTAAGCTCTTTAAAGGAAAACTTTTACTTTGACATTATTACAAAAAGTATACCTTTTAAAAGTGTACTTATAAGTGAGTCAAGAAACAGTCATGAAAGAATACACTCTTTAAGCAGGCCTACACTTAAGTGGCCTTTTATTTATTTAAGTACAGTTTTCAAGGGACATGTACACTCACCTAAATGGTTATTAGGAACACCATACTAATACTGTGTGTGACCCCATTTCGCCTTCAGAACTGCCTTAAAGGGTTAGTTCACCCAAAAATGAAAATTAAGTCATTAATTACTCACCCCCATGCTGTACCAACCCCGTAAGACCTTCGTTCGTCTTCGGAACACAAATGAAGATATTTTTGATTCAATTTGAGAGCTGTATAACTACCACATTGGCTCCTAAGGGACTGCCTCTTGACGGCCCAAAGTCAATGAAGAAAATGTTTAAATATCCCAAGTGACTACCGTGGCTCAACTATATGTTTATCAAGCGACGAGAATACTTTTTGTGCGAAAAAACAAACAAAAATAACGAGTTTATTCGACTATTCCTTTTCTTCCTTGTAGGCCAGAAACGAGAGTTCCTTAGATTTCCACGACGCATGCGCGAGAATTGCTATCTTTTTCAACTACTTCAGATCAGTTCTCGCGCATGCGTCGTGGAAATCTAAGGAACTCTCGTTTCTGGCCTACAAGGAAGAAAAGGAATAGTCGAATAAACTCGTTATTTTTGTTTGTTTTTTCGCACAAAATGTATTCTCGTCGCTTGATAAACTTATAGTTGAGCCACGGTAGTCACTTGGTATATTTAAACATTTTCTTCATTGACTTTCTGGGCCGTCAAGAGGCAGTCCCTTAGGAGCCAATGTAGTAGTTATACAGCTCTCAAATTTAATCAAAAATATCTTCATTTGTGTTCCGAAGACGAACATGACTAGATCATGTAGTAACACTTGAGTCATTACTAGTTAGTTCCAACGATCTTCACTTTATAATACGGATCCAAATAATTAGTAAGTAATAGCTCACAGATGAAAGTGTTACTAGAAAATTCTGTAGGAATTACTAATTATTTGGATCCGTATTATAAAGTGAAGATCAATTGGAACTAACTAGTATTTACTCAAGTGTTACTACATGATCTAGTCATGATTTGTGCAAACGTTTGAGATTTTTGGTAAACTTTAGTATACTTTTAGAAAATGTCTTTAGTAACACTTGAGTAATTACTAGTTAGTTCCAATGACCTTCACTTTATAATACGAATCCAAATAATTAGTAATTCCCACAGAAGTATCTAGTAACACTTTCATCAATGAGCTATTATTTACTAATTCGTTAATAAGTATTTCTTTTAGTTATTAGTAGTTACTAGATTGTTAATAAACTTTTTCAGTAGTTCTCTGGGAAGTATTAAAAAAATAGTAGTTATTGATTACTTAATAGTGAACTACCACTTTCATCTGTGCGCTATTACTTACTAGTTCGTTAATCAGAGTTTCTTGTTAGTTAATAATAGTTACTAGATTGTTAATATTGTGTTACTCATTACTTCTTGTGTAGTTATTCATTAATGAAGGAATCGTATTCTAAAGTGTTACCGATAATTGCATTAATGAGAAATTGAACGGGTGTTCCTAATAATCCTTCAGGTGAGTGTATTTCAGTAGATCAGACAAACCTTCATTGATGTGAAATTTCTGACCCGGTCAAACTCAAATGTCATCTCCACTGAGCCACCAGGGAAACTATTGGTCCAGCCCACATAGTCATACCCAGGCCAGACACCATACACCTGACTTTTAGTGAAGTCATCTAAACCCCAGCTTCCATCAGTGAGCTGCCCAAGACCTTCTGTCATGCTGAGAGAATAAGAAAGCCTTGTTGTTTAATTTGAATGATGTGGTGACATTTGCTTTAGTGTTTAGTTTGTGATACTCTACCTGTTACTAATGGCTCCGTCATACACAGTGTCATTTAAGTGGATTTGATGGCCTCTGGAATTCATCTGTTGGCCAGCAGGGGCGCTGTAGGATACCAGACCATCTGCAGCACAGAGATATATTTTTTGGACCAAACCAGTGTGAATAATAAAATTGTCACTCCTTTTCATACAAATACAACTAATGCAGACTTCAAAAAAAGTTGCCAAAGCATTATAAAAGTAGGCCATTGGGGTAAACACATCCCCCCTCATTATCTTACTAGAGGAGGAAATATCAGTCCAAATAACAGACCAAAATGTAAGTTTTCAGGAATAAAGAAAGAAAAAAGGCTGAGTAAATGATGAAATGATTAAAGGCTTCTTCAATCCTATCACGGCTTGAAACACATTCTAAACTAGAATGTGAATGCAAATGCTTTTAGATTTTTTATGCATAGTTGCGATCAGGAATTCACCTCTTTGAGGTTTGTTAATGCCACAGCCTGCATTTGAGTACTAGCACAAAGAATGTTTCTGACTTAGAAAGAATATAGTTTACCGAGCCATTCACAGCCGTAGAGCTCCACCCTCATACACACAATCATAGAGGGGTCAGTCACAGGCACGAAACGCACAAAACGAGCAATAATGGGAGGCTCCAGGTCCTTGAGCACGACCTCATAGGCGTTATTGTTCCCTTCGATGATCTAAATAATTATGAGAAAACACAGATCATGAAATCACATGAAACATTTCACAATAAACATCATTAAAATTAAAGTTCACTCAGAAATAAATGTTAGGTCATCATTCATCATTCTTGTGTCGTTCCAAAAACACAGAGCTCCTAAACTTTAAAGGGATAGTTCACTTTGAAATTAATTTTTGATATGTTTTAGCTTACCTCAAGGGCATCCTATATGTAGGTGTCTTTGTTTCCACAGTATTTTTAATTTTGATATTTTTCAGTCAAACCGTTGTTGTCTATCAGTCATATAATGCAGGTTTAGGGGGTCCACCCTCGGATCGCCTCAAAGAGCATGCACAGAGAAGTCAAAATTGAACATATGATTTAATGACTCGTAAATGTATAAGTACACATTGATGGCCTAAGACACGAAATGAGTGGTTTGTGTCAGAAAACGAACAGTGACGTACACGCGCAAGCAATCACTTCTGGCACATGCGCAGACTGAAGCGCCCCTGTCGTCAGATCAGTTGGACGTGGCTGTGGTTACATGAGGTAAAAACGATATAAATACTTTTCATTTTCTCACACAAACCGCTCGTTTCGTGTCTTAGGCCATCAATGTGTACTTACATTTACAAGTCATGAAATCATGTTTAATTTTGACTTCTCTGTGCATGCTCTTTGAGGTGTACCCCCTAAACCTGCATTATATGACTGATAGACAACAACGGTTTGACTGAAAAATATCAAAATTAAAAATATTGTGGAAACAAAGACACCTACATCTAGGATGCCCTTGAGGTAAGCTAAGAGCTGGAGAGGGACGCAACCAAACAGAGGCAGGCAGAACAGTTCATGGGGGTGTGAATGGTGGGAGAAGCCAGGGAGAGGAAGGAGCAGGAGTAGCCAGGTGGGGATGTAGAGTGCAGACAGGATGAAAGCCAAAGGCAGAGTTGTTGGAGGGAGAGGCCATGGTGGAGACTTGGCTGACGACACCAGGGGACGACTGATGGAGATTGAGTGGAGTCCTGGGCGCAGACGGAGAGCAGATGGGACCTGGATATACAAGGGGGAGCCGCAGCGACAAGCGTCCGAGGTACAGCCAGGGTGCCTGAAGACCGATACAAAACCGGAGAGGAGCCAAGGCAGAGCAGACAGGTCGACGGGCTGAGGTGAAGTAAAGGGAACAGCTACTGGAGGAAGACTCGGGGGATCCTCTTGACTGGGTGGAGCTGGAGACCGGAAGTCCCAAGGCAGATACACACAGAGTCAAGGGCTGAAGAGGCTGAACTGGCTGTTACTGGAATAGGAGGCAGGAGAGGGAGGCAGGGTGAGAACTCTCGGAGACACAGGAGACTTTGAACTGGGCAGGACCAGCGAGAGAGAAGGAAAAATCCTTTTCCAAATAATTATAAAAACAGTTCATAGAGGCCAGCTGCAGCTCAACCTCAATGATGGGAATTTGGCGGGGCCTTCCTCCATGCCCTCGTATTCCACTAGAATTCCCCCGGTTTACATGTTGCTGGCTAACGGACCGGGTGAGACGCTTCACAAGCCTTGGGCTCCAGAGGGATGATTTGCTTGGTTTTCCCTTCAGGATCTGTCTCGTACATCGCGACTCGCTCAAGCTCTCCGTCTACAGTGGGCTCGAGCGGTGGAGATGGTTGACTGGGCTCTGTGTCCAAAGTGGGGCAGGTGTTCTCCACAGGGCAGATGGTGAAATCAGATCCATTATCCACCAGTCAGGAAAAAGTGGCGACATGGACACAAACAAATCGGATTTGAACAGTTGTGAGTGAACGGTCAATACATTTAGATCAGATTCCAATCGGATACGCAAACAATCGGATTTGGACTGAGAGTGTGAACGTAGTCTATGTCCACTAAAGGGGGGAGAGCGTTTTCAAATCTGTCTCCTTACCTCGGAACAGCCTTCCTGATAATGGTCGTGGCTCAGACTCACTCTCCCAGTTTAAATCTAGATTAAAGACGCATCTCTTTAGCCAAGCCACCATTCACATAATGCATCTCATAACCTTGTACTCCAGTTGTATCAGATGAAAGTGAAAGTCAATTGACATGTGGCCAAGTATGTTGCCCCTGCATTTCACCCATTCAAGTGCTCACACACAGCAGTGAGTATTGAACACACACACCCGGAGGAGTGGGAAGCCATTGTTGCTGTGGTGCCCAGGGAGTGATTGGGGTTATGTGCCTTGCTCAAGGGCACCTCATTCGTGGGCAATGAGATTGGAAGAGAGTGTTGTTCATTCACTCCCCCCATTAAAATTTGCCAGTACTGAGACTCAAACCTGCAACCTTCGAGTTACAAGTCAGACTCTCTACTGCAGCTCCAGCTTGGATCCAGCCTCTTACGAAGATTTCAGATGCCCCAACACGTGTGAGGAGAGGACGCCAACCCCTGCCAAGGACTTCAAATGACTTAAACTCCGAATCAACATGCAGCACTGCCAAATTTTCTATCTTACTTCTATTTGAAATTTTCTCATTAAAGCAGAACTTGTAATAACTGCTTTAATGAGATCATTGTTTCTGCCTAAATAAATACATGAAGTTAACGAACTGTATGATTTGTATTATCTTTGAACTGTACATTTCTGACATATGGACATTACTTGGACACACAGTCACCTATTACTCTAAATTCCCAGACAGCACAGCGCAGTCTCATCACAAGACGTCATATAACTGACGTCTTGCGACGTCTTTTGACCATACGTCAACATCCGCCTTTTTAGGGTCCCCTTAAACGTCAGTTAGACGACGTTATCGGATCCTAACCCTACCCCAGACCTAAACCTACCCCGTCACCTAACTGACGTTAGAGGTAAAGCGTCAGTTGTGACGGCCCGGGATCGCCATTTAACCGACGTTTAAGGGTACCCTAAAAAGGCGGATGTTGACGTATGGTCAAAAGACGTCCCAAGACTTGGGATGAGACTGTGTTAGACAGCAACATGTTGGCCCAGATGTGGGCCACATCGGGTACATGTGGATACAACGCGTACCAGATGTGGGCCGACACTATGTTGCTTATCTGGGTTGTAATGTAGACATGCATTTTCTGTAAAGCTACTTTGAAACAATACGGATTGTGAAAAGTGCTGTAAAAAAAAATACAAAATGAATTGAATCGAAAGATTGCAGTCTCAATGGAACTGAATGGAAAAGAAATAACACTGCCACCTCACCTGTCGACCTTGCCGGTCTCGCCAGGAGACCCAGCGGGTGCCATCCCGGCTATATTTAATCTTATATCGCTGGGCAAACTCATTGCCCACTCCATCTGCATGCCGTCCCTGCGTGCCAACAAGAGTCAGAAAATGGAGAGTACGAAGGTCAATCTGCAGAAATTCTTTTGGACGATCTGGTTCAGCCATGATGTCCGGACACCAGGCCCCATCTCCATCATCAAAATCCAATCTGGAACAGAAAGGGATGTGGTTGAGAAAATAAATTCTATTAGTGTTTCTGAACAGTTTTCAGTGTGATTCAGTGTGTTGGATGTACCTGCCATATCGAGCTGCAGTGGACTCTGACCATTGGCTGGAAGCAGAAATATCTTCATCCTGAATCTGGCCACCAGTCATCCCAAGCGGGTACCTACATACAGCTATCATAGGATGGCATTCACATATTGACAACACAGGCATTTTCCATGCATTTCATTTCAATTTTATTATCATTTATAAACAACTTTTTTTAATTAAAAGCTATTTTTATATTTTTACTTTAATTTTAGTAATTTTGTTGTGCATTTTTGTTATTTTTATTGGTTTCAGTTTTTTAAATGTCTATATATTTTTTATTTATTAGATTTAATTTATTTAGTTTAATTATTTTAGGACTTCAATTTAAACTAAAGAGTTAGTTCACCCAAAACTGAACATTCTGGCTGGGTGGAAATTTAGGGGCCTGAAGTCTTCCTAAAATGGGCCAAGTGAAGCATATGACAAAACTGTAATAGCGCAAACAGTCTCCCCTGAAAGAAACTAGACCTACACCGGAGAGCTGGTCACACAACCTCTACAACGTGAATCCACACCCTATAAGCAAATACCCAAAATACCACTCAACCCCATCCATGAGGCCTCAGCAGAAAACAGAGGGACTTTTATGTTCATGCCAGGACAAGCTCACCATGCAACGGAGGGCTTTCTCAGCTTTGAGTTCTTTCTCTTTAAAAAAAAAAATATTTTAGGCAGAAATTGAAATTATATCTATTGTTAATGTTGCTGCAAAGGACACTATTTTTGTCACACTATTTACAGGTAAACACTTTTTTTAACGTTAGTGTATGATTTCTGTTTTTCTTCTTTAGTTTCTACTTTTCTGTAACCATATACTATAATTCGTAGAATGTTCACAATGGGAACCAGAAATAGTTTGCTGCGAGAAAGATTATTTCAAACTTTTACCGTTTTCGTTCTATACACAGTATATCCCAACACCACTCATATGAGTGATAATGATAAATAGACTCCACTGTGCAGGAGTACAAATTGGGAAACTCAGTCAACCAGTCAATAAATACTTCACATCCCCCTAAATTTAATTTGTAAGCCTTGGCATTTAAACAGACACTGGACCCCTAGCATACAGCAGCTTCCTCCATCCCCTACCTAACGTCAATGACATGCCTGTGGTGAGACTATAATAAATCTAATGGGACATTTCAAATACTTCTAAATCAACAGGTTGTGGAAGTAAAAAAATCATAATTTACATTGAAAAGTTTTGTACATTAGGGTTTTATATTACATAGCATGAAATCTAAATGGACAATTCTTGTTTTTTAATGGAACATTGCCGTATTTCTTTATAAATGTATACTTGCAAAATTTTTTTTTTTATCATTTAATTCATGTGTCCTCGTAATCTTTAATCAAAATAACTCCCCCTTCCTCTTGCAGCGACATCATCTCTTCTCTGATGATGTGTTTACTGGCGTGAGGGCGGGACAAACTGTCACTCACATGACATCAATAGCAAACCACAACCATCCAATCAGTTCCCCGGTTTCGAGAAGCCTCATTTAAATATGTGTCACAATAGGGAAGACTAGACTATTGCAAATAATGTTTATTGCATTATTTTAATGTCATGTGTGTTACCATGTTTTGTGTGTATGACATTGTGCACCTTATATTTACATCAACGTGTGGAAAAGCTACTTTTTTATGACTTTTGATTAATCATGAGATTATTCTTTTTACCACCTGTGCTTTTTGGTGGTTGTCATATTAAAAAGATCAGAAAAAGAAAAGGTATTTTAGTATTTCATTCAGTTATTATATCAGTACGGTAAATAAATACAATATATATATATATATATATATATATATATATATATTACTGCCGTATTTTTACTCTACAGTTCTGACAACCACAACTGCCTTTTTTAAAATAATGGTTCAGATGTAAAAGTTTTTCTCTTTATTCTTTCATTATTTATTTACACATTGATACAACTGCAGCGGAAGCGATGCTGAAGTTCTCCAAAAGCTTGTGAAAAATCAGAGCTATTATATTGATGAATTCACAGCGCATTCGACAGAAACATTTTGCACAATATAATGGTATGAAATAAAAAATGTTCCTCTTTTAATTTAGAAATTGTATTATATATTCTGCATTTCACTCACCAGGATTGACCTGTGACTTCACAGCTCCAACCAGAAGCAGGACAGTAATATATTGTCTCACTTGGAACATTTTTATTGCATGATTGTAATTCCTGTAAACAAAATGAAAGTTAATTTAACTATTAGATAGCATAATAGTGTAACTTTATAAGCAAAGGTTGTTTCAGAATTAGGCTTATATTTATTTTAAAAATAGTTAGAAATGTTAAAAATATAGTTAATTATATGAATATATTTAATAATGTAGTCAATATTATAAGATTACATTATACTAACATTTATTTGCATTACAATAACCACATTCTTACATTTTTAATACTTAAAAAATCAAGACTTGTCAAAACATAAACCCACAAGATGAGGAACAAAAGGGCTCTTGTAGGTGTGTTTGCCCTCAGGTCAGTAAGTTCTCCTGGTATACAAAGTCCACTATGTGAGTGGTGTTTATTTATGTTGCTTACAGCTCCAGTCAGATGCCTGTGGGAGAGCAGTACTGTATTTACAGTCATGTGGAGGGGTGACCAATGGGAACTTACTTCTTGTGAAGCACGAGTCTTCTACAATCATAAACACCAATGTGTGCTTAATACTTCTCTATATAATCAGCTACATTATTATACTTTACTTTTTATTATAATTAAAAAGTAAAGTTGACAGAAATTTACCAAATTTGACCTGGGAAATTTAGGTTACAAAATACTGTAATTTATTTTTATTTTTTTTCTCATGGACAACAGTTGATTTAATATGTATATACTTTTTACAATCACTGTCCAGAATTATTGGTATTATTTCAAATGAATTACCAGCAAAGACTCCAAATCATGACTGATTTGTTGAGCATAGCCTATGAAACAACCTCATAAAAACTAATCTAATGAATCAAATGAAACATCCTACAAAACACAAGAGACACTTACCACTTTCTTTAGTCATAAACTCAAAGATCACTGCCTCGAAGTATTAGCCTTTAAGCAAAACATAATCCTCCTCGTCTTCACGATCCATCCTGAGGGAAAATGAGAGGCTGGGGCAAGTGACCCTCATAAAGGAGCAGAAATAAACAGAGCTAAAGAAAAAAAGATACAGTCAGCACCATTCTGGGGAAAGTCCAAATAGCCCAGATTTCATCCTGAGAAACAGAAGGTTTTAATTATCACAGGACCCTTTCACATAATAGTTCACTGTTTTCTCATCATATATATATATATATATATATATATATATATACTGTATATATGAAGAGTTCAGATGCAAAAGCCTCTAAATGCCATTTGAAATTTTCTTCTAGAATGATCGTTTTTATCAAGCTTGTATCTTTAAGTTCAGTGATTTCACTTAAATGGCAATGATAATTACCTATTAATTGTTATTTAAGTGAAATTAATGAACTTAAATATATAAGTTTGATAAAAATCATCATTAAAGAAGAACATTTCAAATGGCATTTAGAGGCTTTTGCATCTGAACTCTTTATATATATATATATATATATATGTGTGTGTGTGTGTGTGTGTGTGTTATTTTAGTATTGATATACTAATGTTGTTTTTGTAACATTTTATTTATTGTATTTTAATTTCAAATTCATATTTTGATTAAGTTTGGTTATATTTTTTTATTTAGTTTTGGTTAATTTTTATTAATTTTGTTAAGTTTTTATTATTATTTTAAATATATCTATATATTTTATATATTTATATATTAGCTTAAGTTTTAAGTTTTTTTTTAGTCAGTTATTTTAGTAGGCCTACTTCATTTAAACGAAAATGAGAAATGTTCCCTCGGTGTAAGGATTTCGCCAGCTTCACTCACTCCTCCCATTCGTTCACAGTCCCCTGAGTTTTAATCATCATCATCTGCACCTCATCAGTTCACCTCCCAATATATTCAACTCCTCTTCACACACTCATTGTCTGGTTTCATCTCTACATGACACTACAGACTATCACGCTACTTACCTGCAACTTACCCTCTACCTACCTGAGTTCCATCCATCCATCGATCACCTGCTAACCTTCACACGGAAGTTCAGTCTCCAGTCTCCAGTCATCAGCCTGTTCCCATCCATCCGCATCTGTAAACAAAGACTCTGGTTATCCTTCAGCTAATTTATATCCCGAATATCGTCTGCTTGTATACTCACCATATCTCTGTCTGGATCTGCAACCTATAAATAAACACTATTTCACTAATCACCTGTCTGGCTCCTATTCCATCCATGATAGAAGACCAGACCAACGAAATGGATTCTCCATGGGCTCCGCTGGACTCACTTCTGCAAACATCCGCTGCTTCATCAGCTGCCTCTGGGAGTCCCATGGCCCGATCAGCGACATTCAACGGAGAGGCGGAGGATTGCAGTGGTTTTTTGCTTCAGGTATTGCTATATTTCCAAATGCAGGCACAACAATTCTCTAACGATTCAGCCCGAGTGGCGTTTATTATACCCCTGCTGTCCGGCAGAGCTCTCCAATGGCCCCAATCTCTCTGGAACTCAGATTCTCCTGCGGTTAAATCCCTTTCAAGTTTCATTCAGCATTTCAATTAAGTGTTTGGTCAGACAGTTTCCGATCTCACTGTTCACAATCAGCTCTTCAACCTTCGTCAAGGAAAGTCTTCAGTGAGAACATATGCCCTTCTTTTTCAAACGCTGGCAATTTCAGGTGGCTGGAATGAGACAGCTTTGATGACAGCTTTTTGACATGGTCTCAACCCTAACATCTGCCAGCTGGTGGTGGTATATGAGAATTCCTTGGCAACGGAAAACCTCATTCAGAAAATCATTAGATTATTACCGCTTATCTGCCTGTGATATTCTAGAAACCGCTGTAAATCCCCCGTCTTCGGCACCATCAGTCGCCCCTCCAGCACTCCAACCCATGCAGATTGACTCCACTCATCTTTCTTCTTCAGAGCGGCAATGTAGAATTCAACAGCGTATTTGTCTACACTGTGGGGATGAAAAACATCTCATCAACTCCTGCCCTATTCGACCTCAACGCCCTGCGGTAAGCACCATTCAGATTCCTCCTAAGAGTCAAACCTTGAACCGCACAACTGTTCATTTATTAACCTCCAGTGTATGTGTCTCAGCACAAGACCTCCGGGCGGGCAACTTCATTTCCACTCAACTCCTACAAAAATTGAACGTTTGTAAACACCAAAGTCATCAAGATCTCTGAGTCCAAACTACCACCTCACTGGAGCCACCCTGTCTAAAGGCCGTGTCTATCCTCTGTCCATACCGGAGCAGAAGGCCATGGAGGAGTATGTGGAGGAGGCTCTTCAACAGGAGTTCATTCGACCATCTACAGCCCCTGGCGCTTCCAGATTCTATTTCATGGCTAAGAAGGACGGAGGCTTGATGCCGTGCATTGATTATCGTCATCTCAACTCGAAGTTTAGTTATCCTAATAACTAATAAGTTTAGTTAACCCCTTCCTCTGGTCCTAGCAGAATTGGAGCAGCTACATGGAGCCCACATCTTTTCTAAGTTCGATTTACACACTGCATACAACTTGATTCACATTGGACGAGATGATGGATGGAAGATGGCATTCGTCACGCCCTCAGGTCACTATGAGTATCGAGCTGTCCAATGCCCCAGCTGTCTCCCAGGGTTACATGAACGGGGTCTTCCGAGAGTATCTCAACAGTTTTGTGGTTGTCCATATAGACGATATTCTCATCTATTTCTCATCTCTGGCTGAGCATCAGCGTCATGTCACTCTAGTTTTGGAGAAACTGAGAGCTGGACAAACAGGGAGTGCAGATGGACCAGGGGAAGGTGGAAACTATCCAAAGCTTGCCCCTGTCCTCTGCTGTGAAGGATCTTAAAAGGTTTCTCGGATACGCCAATTTCTATATAAGATCATCAATAACTACAGTCACATCAGTTCTCCTTTGACCTTGTCTCTAAAGGGCTTGCCCAAGTCTCTGTCCTTATCTCCTGAAGCCATCTTAGCCATTCAATGACTGAAAGAAGCCTTCCTGACTGCTCCCATCCTGGTTCATCCTAACCCAGATATACTGTTTGTTGTTGAGGTGGATGCATCCTCAAAAGGAGTTGGAGCAGTTCATAGCGGCAGGGTGATCCTCCCAAACTCCATCCATGTGCCTTCTACTCTAAGAAGCTGTCCCCAGCAGAGAGGAACTATGATATTGGGAATCGGGAGCTGCTCGCCATCAAGCTTGCGTTAGAGGAATAGAGGCATTGGCTGGAGGGAGCTAATCACCAGTTTGAGGTTAACCGATCATCGCAACCTGGAATACCTCAGAAGCTGAAGCAGATAAAGCTGAATCCCGTTAGGCTCAATGGGCTCTCTTCTTTACCCACTTTGATTTTACCATGTCATACTGACATGGAAGCAAGAATTGCAAAGTGGATGCTGTCTCTCATCTTCATCATGCTTCAACGGAAGATTCGCAACCAGAACCTATCGTCCCCTCCAGCCATCAACAGCCCCATCATCTGGGACATCGACGAGCAGATTTCCCAGGAGAACCTTCATCATCCCGCTCCCCCAGGAGGTCCAGAGGGTGCGTCTTCGTACCTCTCCATCTTCATGCCGCCCTTCAGTAATCGGTACAGGTGATCCATCTCACGGGATGTTTCCAGGTATGTTCGGGGATGCTCAGTCTGTGCTATTACCAACACCCACAGAGCACTCCCGGAGGGCAAGCTCGTGCCACTTCCTATCCCACAACGGCCGTGGTCATTTAAATTGATTTCATGACGGACCTTCCCAGATCCAGTAACCACACTTATGTCCTCGTCGTTGTCGATTGCTTTTTGAAGGCTTTGAAGGCCGCAGAAGCCCTCTTCAATCATGTTTTGAATCTTTGGCATCCCCAAGGACATAGTGTCAGATAGAGGTCCACAGTTCATTTCAAGGGTTTGGCAAGCCTTTTTCGGACTCCTCTGGGTTACTGTCAGCTAATCTTCTGGATACCACCCTCAGATAAACGGACATACTGAGTGGAAGATGCAGGAGATTGGACAACATCTCAGCACCTATTGCTACCAGTACCAAGAAAAATGGAGCCGGTTCCTTCTCTGGGCAGAGTACGCCCAGAATTCCCTTCTGCAATCTACCATACGGCTCACCCCCTTTCAGTGTGTCCTGGGTTATTAACCTCCACTCTTCCCTTGGTCGGGTGAGCCCTCTGAGGTTCCAGCTGTTGATTACTGGTTCCATCAGAGCGAGAGGGTATGGGACTCGGCTCACGTGCACTTCCAGCAGGACAAAAGGTATGGCTTTCGACCAGGGACCTCCGCCTCCATCTGCCCTGCGTTAGCTGAGTCCTCGATACATCGGTCCTTTCACCATGCAGGTAGCTGAACAAAGTCACCTACAGGCTTGTCCTTCCTCCACAATACCGGATTTCACCATCTTTTCATGCGTCACTGTTGAAGCCCTTCATTGAACCTGTCACTTCTCCCACAGAAACCGTCCCAGAGGACCTACCTCCTCCTCTAGCCCATCTACCAAGTCCACACCATCATGTACTCATGGTGACGAGGTCCTCGGCTGGAATATCTGGTTGACTGGGAGGATTAGGGTCCAGAGGTACGGTCGTGGTTTCCTTGCAATGATATCCTGGATCCAGATCACCTCACTCAGTTTCACGTTGACCATCCTGATCGCCCCGCTCCCAGAGGCCGTGGTAGACCTCGTCACCGTCTTCGTCCCTCGTCTCAGGTGTCGACAACCGCTTCGGAGGAAGGGGGTACTGTCAGGATTCCACCAGCTTCACTCACTTCTCCCACTCATTCACAGTCCCTTGAGTTTTAATCACCATCAACTGCACCTCATCAGTTCACCTCCCTATATATTCAACACCTCTTCACACACTCATTGTCTGGTTCATCTCAACATGACACTACAGACTATCACACTACTTCGCATTAATCGCATTAAAAATCCAATGCATTAAACTCTGCCTGGTGGTGCATGGGAGAAACTTTGCAGCAACCTCCAAAAGCAGACCAATAGTTGATCAGATTTATGGCACAAGCCTGAGCGGCCAATGTAAATCCTTAGTGCCCTGA